GTAAGTTTCAGGAAAAAAATTGTATTACCCTTGAGCGATTTTATTCGGATTATTTTTTATATTTGATCATTATTAAAGCAAATCTACAACAAGACAAACTTTACTGCATTAACGCATAGGAAGTTGGGCTGGAGAAATTGTACAGTGGGTAGGGTGCTCGCTTTGCACATAGCTAACTGAGGTTTAATCCCCGGCATCCCGTATGTTCCCCTGAGCTCTGTCAGGAGCAATTCCTCAGTGTCCAGCCAGGAGCAACCCTTGACCATTGCTGGGTGTGGCCCAAAAACCAAAAAAAAAAAAAAAAAAAAAAAAAGCATAGGAAACTAATGTCGAAAATATTCATGTCATAAGTCAATTTTGTTTCTCAAAGGTATACATATTTCTTTCCTATAATTAAAAAAGACATAGCAAGGAATTTTATTAATATGTAAAAAAATTAAAAAAACGATTCACATAATATGAAATCACTTTTGATTTCTATGAGATTCCACAAAAATCATACTAATGATGGAGATACTAAGTCATAATCAAAAAAGGAAAAATAAAACCACAAATAAAAACCAAACAAATACAGATATTTATACCATAACTTTCAACCTTTAAATAGGACAGATGCCACTTCCAGGTCAGAGTTAACCTGATCTTGAATATTTTTACTATCCTCCTCATTTAAGGACTTGACGAATCGAGAACACACGTTCATATCAAATCGGTTAGGCAGTATGAACTTCATTCCCATAGCAATGCCCTGTGCCGATCCTTCCTCAGTGGTTGGGTCCAGTGAATGCTCTAGTTTAATGTCAGGCATGCCAGCTAAACTGTAAGTGCTGGCACACTCTTCCACTTTCAGTTGGGTGCCCATATCCAGATTTGCTGCTGTAGCCATGATTCCAATCGTAGTTTCAATAATTAAAGCATTTCATCATTTCCTCTTGGTTTTGTAGGGGAGGTATCCAGTGTATCCTTAAAGTTGATATTAAAAATTCTGAAAAAAAAAATACTCTATCAACGTAAGTAGAAGTATAACAACTAGTCATTTCAATCAAGCATATAAACAATGCTCTCAGAAGCCTGCTTCAAGGAAACGTACAATGTTCGAGGGTAGAGAAACTCAGGGTGAAGCCACGCTTCAGCATTTAATAGCTATGTAGACCGGTGTGAGTTACTAGCTCTGTCTCACTTGTAAAACGGGTCTTACCATTAACTTCTCAGGATCTTGGCAAAGATAAGATGAATACATTACATTCTTACCTCTACCACGAGGTCGTCAACAAATTTTAGTTACCTTTCTCCCTTTTTCTTATTCTAGAACATGCCAAATGGGTAACAATAAAAATAAACTTTCATATGAAACTTTAAGCTCTGAAGGCTCATTTTATTTTATTTTTTGCTTTTTTAGGTCACACCCGGCAATGCACAGGAGTTACTCCTGGTTCATACACTCAGGAATCACTCCTGGCAGTGCTCGGGGGACCATATGGGATGCTGGTAATCGAACCCGGGTCGGCCATGAGCAAGGCAAACGCCCTACCTGCTGTGCTATCGCTCCAGCCCCTGGAGGCTCATTTAAAAAAAATTCTTTCTTTCTTTTCTTTTTTTTTAAAACATGCTGTATTTATAAAGCAGCTCTCTCACTTTTCTGATACCCATGACTCCCAGGATAATGAAAGAAATTACAAAGTTCTGGCTATGGTAAACTAAAAATAGATTTATTTTATTCATTTCACTGAGATCAATGATTAGCAAGTTAATACAGGTTTTCGTTAAAATTAAGCGAGCATAGGTTGGCTTCCTTTGTCTTCCTTTTCTGGGGCATTAGGTATCTCCATCTTCGTAATAATTATTAAAAAGTAAGAATTGTTTTTTTGTTTTCTTTTTTCAAATACAGGTTTTCCTCAGGTATCTAAAAGTAAAGGTAAAGGTAAAGGCCCTCCCGTTGATGGTCGATTTGCTCGAGCGGGCCCAGTAACGTCTCCATTGGAGACTTTGTTGTTACTGTGTCTGGCATATCGAATACTCTCGGTAGCTTGCCGGGCTCTCCGAGAGGGGCGGAGGAATCGAACTCGGGTCGGCCATGTTGGCCGCGTGTAAGGCGAACGCCCTACCCACTGTGCTATCGCTCCAGCCCTAAAAGTAGAATGCTCAAATGTTATGGTTCCCATTAATTTATACAGAAAAAAATAAGCATTCCCAGACCCTTAAAAAAAAATTACTAAATCATTCCAACTAGAAGCATTCTTTTTTTTTTTTTTTTGACATCCAGTGATGCTCAGGGTTACTCCTGGCTCTGCACTCAGGAATCACGCCTGGTGGTGCTGGGGGAATCATATGGGATTTGGGGGATGGAACTTGCAAAACAAGCGTCTTACCTGCTGTACTACTGCTCCAGTCCCAGAAGCATTCTACTTTGAATAGCAGGGAAAACCTGTATAGATTGTCAAGATATGAACTCAATAAATGCCAACTTTTTCAAAAATGCTAACTCTTCAAGCATAATTTTTTTTTCTTTTTGGGTCACACCCTGCGATGCACAGGGGTTTCTCCTGGCTCTGCACTCAGGAATTACCCCTGGCGGTGCTCAGGGGACCATATGGGATGCTGGGAATCAAACCTGGGTCGGCCGTGTGCAAGGCAAATGCCCAGACCGCTGCGCTATTGCTCCAGCCCCTCAAGCATAATTTTAAAATTCGTTATGAATTATTATTTTTAAATGGATTATTAGGAATCACTAGGACAGCCCTATAGATCTTAAAAATCTTAAATTTCATTACTTAAGAAAGAGAAAATTTCATTACTGTACCTAATGTGCCTCTAAAAAATGAAGAACTTCAAGATTTACAATTGTTCCACAAAATGATCACCAGGACAGAAATAAAATTAATAATAAATAACATCCAGTTAAGTTCTTCAGATTAGGGTTTACTGACCCTTAGAAATATTTGAGAGGGCATAGGGTGTATTAAAATCGGCATTAATTGGAATCAAGAGAGAAAATGCTGTAGGATCACAGTGGAGCAAGAGTAGCAGACCATACATTTATAACCACTGTTTACAGCTGTAAAATATTTTTTCAAGACTGAATCCTGAGTAGCCAGGGCAGTTAACTATTATCTCCGTACTCCAGAGGAGAATGAGCAAGTTTGTGAGTTACGAGAAACCTAACCAGCTCTTCTGATTCCATCCATCTATTGTACTTAGCAGGACTAAATGAACCCCAGACTCCCAAAGAAGAAAAATGTTGGAAGAAAAGAACAAATGGTAATAATAATAAACAGGTAACAAAGTCAGTATATATCAAGCATAAGAAGGCAAGCAGAAGAGGAAATGAATCCTAGTGACTGGCGGATGAGGGTGGTCTTTTGCTTTCAGTTTTTTGGGGGGGTCACACCTGACAACACATAGGGGTTACTCCTGAATCATGCACTCAGGAATCACTCCTGGCGGTGCTCGGGGGACCATATGGGATGCTGGGAATCGAACCCGGGTCAGTCGCGTGCAAGGCAAATGCCCTACCCGCTGTGCTATCGCTCCACTCCTAGAGTGGTCTTTTGAACGGGAGCTATTTTCCTGAGGGGTGAACACTCTCCCACAGCCTCCTACCCCAAGTTCTCCCAGTGCTATGCTTATAACACTTTATATGTTGTGGCGCAGTGTTCAGGGGCTACTCCCGACTCTCTGCTCAGGGCCTGCATCCCGGAAACGCTCAGGAAACCAGATGTGCAGCCGGGACTTGAACCACTTTAGTAGCCAGAGCCGCATGCAAGGAGGGTGCCGTAACCTCCGGACTGTCTCTCAGGTCCCGTATTGGCTCTTTAAGCATTTCTCCTTCCTCTGAAACAAGACTTCACCTCTCCCAAACCGGTACCACCCGTACGATGAGGACTAGTCTTACTCAGCATTGTACACAAAAACTCAAAAAAAATCTTTTAACATATTCTATCCTGAAATGACCCGGCACGATGCAGAAACAAACAAACGAAAAAAGCAAGAGCTCAGACCCGATTTTCCATCTCTTCCATCACTAACTAGTTGCGCTGTGCCCCTCCCAGCGCAACTCATCACCTGAGTTTTCCAAAAGGCTCATTTGACTCATCTGTGAAACAAAGACGGTTGCAACAGGCATCTCTGACACTCCCGCCCCCAGCCCCCAAACACTTCCATATCATTTGCCAGGGTTTATAGATATGGGGGCGGGGGGAGGGGGGCTTCGAGGGAAGGATAACCACTCTGAGTGACAGAGGACGGAAATAGAACACTTGTCACTAGGAAGGAAAAGCAGAGCTGACGGGCACAGTCAAATTTCTGCAGACTAGGAAGGGGTGAGGGTGGGACAGGAGGACCTGGGGAGGAGAAAGCGGAGGCCGAGACCGAGCGAGCCCCCTAGGCGGGTCCCTCCCGGCTGCGGCTGGGAGCGGCCCCTCCCCAGCCCCCGTACTTCCTGATCCTGCAGCGAGCGGGTCCCGAGGGGAACGCCCGACGCCTCCTGGGCGACAGGTGTCCGGAGGCGCCCCGGACCCGAGCCCGCCGCCGAGGCCCGGCTGTCGCGGAAAGAGCGCGGTGCGCGCGGTCGCGGCGCGTCCGGGGGAGCCGGGCCGGGGCCCCACCCGGTGGCAGCTCCGGGCCTCGCGGCCACCTGCGGCAGTGGCCGACGAATCGGCTCCTCCCATCTACGTCCCGGCTGCCCGGCCCAGGACCCCGCCCCAGCCCCGGCCTGCTTGGACCTCGACGTCACTTCCGCTGTCTGCTTTCGCTTTCTGCCCGAAAGCGGTTCCGCCTCGGGATAAACCCGAGAGGTTTCCTCGGCTGTTTAACCCGCCGCGGCGCGCGGTGCGTCCCTCCGGAGCCTTACGGACGCCGGGTCATTCCAGGTCGCGGGTGCGGGTCACTTAGAGCCAAGCATGGGGTCGGGGAGGGGCGGGGTGGGAGGGGTCTCGCCCTTCCGCCCCGCCCCACGGCCACGCCTACCAGCCCCGCCCCGTCGCCCGCCGGGTTGCGCGATCTCGTGCGTCTGCGCCGTGACGTCATCTCCGCGCGACTGCCCCGGCACTTCCATTCGCCGTGTGTCTCCCTCACCTCCCGAGAGGGTCCGCGTGATCTTCCGTCAGTGTTAGTTAGCGGTCCAGGGAGGGTGCTGGCGGGACCCACGAAATTCACCTTGATGTTGAGACGTCCCGGCGGGTCCATTGGAGGTAGGTGAAGGCGGCTCCTGCCGGGGTGAGTTCCAGCCCCGCGTTGGGCCTCGCCGGGCGTCCAGCATGCTGCTCTGGTGCTTCCTAGTGTCCGCAGATTGGTCACTCCTTAAACCAGCCTTTCAGGGTCCCGAGGACTGAGCTTCGATCTAGATTTTTCCTCCTGTAGCATTTCAGCCTTTCCGACGGCCCACCGTTGTCGGTCCCCGGAATAATCCACCCTAGCCCAAGGCAGCCGGCAAGTTCCCATCGCTTGTCTTCGCTTAGGAGTTTCGAATGCGTCGTCCTTTGCAGTCTCTTCCCGCTTCTGCGCGCAGCCTACGAGTTGATTCTGATCTAGTATCAAACTTCAAGATCCAGCTGAAATGCACAATCGCAGTACCCCATTCCCAGTACGCTGCAAGTTACTCGTGGCGTTTACTTGATATTCTACAGTATAGTGCAGTGATTTTATATATATACACACACACACATATATATATATATACATATATATGTATAAAATCATCTTAGCATCTCTCGGGCTCTAGTCTCCAGTAATTTTATCCCTCTTCATTTTCACATCGCTTCTTGCTTCCAGGCTCTATATTGTGTGGACTTAATCTCCCTCCCCCCACTTTTTTTTTTTGCCTTCAGTGATGTGTGCCACTTTAATCTGACAAATCACTACTACTGTTCTTTACAAAACTTTAAAGTGGTTTCTTTCAAAGAAGAGTTAAGTATCCCTTTATCTATACTTTTAAGGGGCTAATACATTCTCCCTCCAATATATTTTGTGACAGTCAGTGAATGTTTTACAGATGAACATTTGGATATGTGTGGTAGGAAACATTAACTTTGACAACATTTTAAGGGAAATGTTTTCTGTGTTCTCCAAATTATCTCATTCTTTCACTCATAAGCAAAAAATTCTCTCCATTATTTGGGAGAGCTTTGTTAGAAAAAAATTGCAACTTCTTTATCTTGCTAAGTGCTACATGATCACGGTCACAGTCCCCCTGTTGTTCATCAATTTGCTCGAGCGAGCCCAGTAACGTCTCCATTGTGAGACTTGTTGTTACTGTGTTTGGCATATTGAATACATTGCGGGTAGCTTGCCAGACTTTGCTGTGCAGGCGAGATACTCTCGGTAGCTTGCCGTGTTCTCCGAGAGGGGCGGAGGTATCAAACCCGGCTCAGCCGGCCGGCTGTGTGAAAGGCAAACACCCTACTGCTGTGCTATTGCTCCAGCCCTACATGATGTCTTTCATTTTCCCTGCTGGTCTGCAGTGCCTTAAAATACTCTCTGGTCCTTTACAGAAAAAAGAAAAATGACTTGTACTCTGTAGTAATATGAAAGAGAACACTTGTGATTTTTAGTGTTTTCCTTGGGACCCAACACAATATTTACTTTCCTTCCTTCCCACCTTTCTCATATAAACATTCTTTGCACAGTCTAAAAAAAATTCCTCTAGACAAGAAATGTCCAATTGAAGGGGAGAAATCATATGCCATCGTGCATATTGACAGAAATTGGCAGTCAAGTGGGAGGATTATAGAAGACAGATCCTTTATCGTAGTCTATAGAGTCAGGGAAATGCTTGTGGAAGACCTGGACCATGAGTTGAGCTTTAGGTGATGAAGAGGAAGTAGATAGAAAGTAGCCATTTCTGGCTGAAAGGACAAATGAGCAACTTGAAGGGAATAATGGGCCATGAGGCTGTAAAGGCCAGAGGGGGCAATCACAGCACCTTGCATGTCATGTGAAAGAGCTTTGGCCCTGTTTTCTGGGCAATTTTGTATTTTGTAGCCAAATTCAGATCCGAATTGTAGTTGGATTACTTTGCCATTTGAAAGATGGGTGAATGGGGAAGGGGGGGGTAGTGAAGGGGGGATGGAGGGAGGAGAGAGGAGAGAGGGAGATCATTATTGTACTGTCTTTGTGGACGAGATATGATAGGAGTAGAACAGAGTAGAGTGGATGTGATGATGTTTAGAGAGATTTTGAAGGTTTTCAGCTTACCTTAAATAAATGATTAATTTGTATGTTAGGAATAAGGAGGGTGGATTTCAGATTTCTAGCTGGTGCCCATGTAATGGTGAAATGGAGAGTTGGGTTATAGGCCACTTCTGCTTCATTCTCCGGTGTATTCACCATTCCTTGAACAAAGTGCTTGGACAGAAAAAATATATCCCTTCTAATGATTGATTGCCATGTTTCATCAAAACAGACTTTTTTCATTTTTGATTGTTTTGTTTTGAGACCACCCTTGGCAATGCTCTGAGGTTACTCCAGGTTCTGAAGTCAGGAATTACTCCTGGCGGTGCTCAGGGGACCATATGGGATGGTCAGAAATAGCTCTGTGCATGCGAGGCAAGCACCCTACCTGCTGTAGTATCTCTCCAGTCTCCAAAACAGAGTTTAAAATAAATTGCATCTGTTTTAGTATTACTGATGCTCTGTTTTCTGACTTTTTGGAATTGGTGATAAATTGTGTCACTGGACTCATTTATCTGATAAAGTCGAATCTCTTGCTGTGAAATACTACTGGAAAGATTTTTGGCTTAGTAACAGGACATGTCATCATGACTTAAAGTTTTTCTTCTTTTGTATCCTGTTCTGTCACTCACTTTAGTTTGAGAGTTGCTTTTTTTCCTGTTTACATTCTTAATATTTGACCCTTTAAAAATTAACTTATTTTAAGCTTCTACATCAGAATATTAGCTGTTTCATTTTATTTGAAGCCTTAAAATTTACCTTTAGATACTATATTAGCATATTAGCTTTGTTTTCCTTCTTGATATCTTTAGGTTTTTTTGAGGAAGTCAAGTCCCCAGGCTGTGTTCTAATAGACTAAATGTGATTTTATTTATTTTTTTGCTTTTTGGATCACACCCGGCAATACTCCTGGCTCTGCACTCCAGAATCATGCCTGGCGTTGCTCAGGGGACCATATGGGATGCTGGGAATCGAACCCGGGTTCGCTGTGTGCAAGGCAAATGCCCTACCCGCTGTGCTATTGCTCCAGCCCCCTAAATGTCATTTTAAAACTAAATTAGGATAAATCTTGTCTTTATATTTTCAGTTTCATGGGTTTTTTGGGCAGTGAATGAGCTAAGCCAGTGTGCCTCCCTCTGCTTTGGCTTCTGGTTGGCTGAACCATATTTATTTCCAAGTATTGTAAATTGATTGTTAGGTTTGTGAGCATTGTATATGGCCTTTGTACATTGTCAAGAAAGTGGTGTGATGGGGTAGCCCTATCTGTATTCTTGCTTCCTTTATATTTTCTTTGTATTAGAAATTAGCTTTGTGTCATTAATCTGTAAGCTACCACACTGACTTGAAAAAATGGAGAATGAAAATCAATACTATTCAGAGGTTTATGAATAATGTGAATATAAAATATTTTCTTTTTCAGACATAAGCAGTTAATACAGGTGTTTCTGATCTCAATTCCAGACTATCATTGAACACGGTGTAATCATATGCAATTATGTCTGGTTATAAGCCTGCTGCTATTCAGACATATCCAGTACTTGGTGAAAAGATCACCCAAGATACATTGTACTGGAATAACTACAAGGTAAATAGGTGGTAAAGGGGTGTGTGTGTGTGTGTGTGTGTGTGTGTGTGTGTGTGTGCGCGTGTGTGTGCGCGCGCGTGTGTGCGCACACATTTATGCCAATTACTCCAACTTTGCATGCTGGAGACCCTAGTTCAACTTGGCATTACATGGTCCCTCAAGCACTGCCAGGTGTGACACCCCCCCCCCCCCCCCCGCCAAAGTCCCACATTTAAATGTATGCTGATATAATTGTGATGATATTTCATCAGCAGTAATCACAGAAAATTGTTGAATAGAAAGGGGCGGGAGGTGTGGTCTGCCAACCACATATTTATTTACTTTTAATGCAACAGGAATATATAACCTGGATGATGGAATATCGACTTTCATTTGCTGTATACTTTTAATCAGACTTGTAAAGTTACTAAGAATAATTATCATCTGTAAGAAAATTTGTAATGCTTCAGTTGACGTTACCAGTTGCCTCTGTTAATATCTTGTATTATTTTTCATTAAGACCCCTGTTCAGATTAAGGAATTTGGAGCAGTGTCCAAAGTTGACTTTTCTTCACAGCCTCCATATAATTATGCTGTCACAGCTTCTTCAAGGGTAAATATAATATTAAACGTTGAGTTTTCTTCTCTATAGTTTATATTTACTGCTCCCTGATCTTCACTTAACTGTTAAATATTTTGTTTATTTTGTAGATTCACATTTATGGCCGATACTCTCAAGAGCCTATAAAAACTTTTTCCCGGTTTAAAGACACGGCGTACTGTGCTACTTTCCGGCAGGATGGTAGACTTCTTGTGGCTGGGTGTGAAGATGGGGGCGTTCAGCTTTTTGATATAAGTGGAAGGGCCCCCCTCAGACAGTTCGAAGGCCACACAAAGTAAGAGGCAGTTGGTTTTGTTCTAAGCTCTGTTTGTTTTTAGGGATTTCTTTCTTTCTTTTTTTTTTTTTATAAAAAGAAGTTAGCAAGACTGTGTTCTCTCTTGAACTCATATCTCGCTTGCTTGTCTCGATATTTCTTTGCTTACCTATTTCCTCTCTGGAGGAGCTTGTCTTCTCTCTTGAACAGGAACTTCTTCCTCTCTGTCCCCTCACGTTTTTCTAAATCTGTTCCAATAAGACTTCCTTATTTCATTCACTAAAAAGAAAATCCATTAAAAATCCATAAAAGTTATGCATCTTCAAGACAGTGCTTAAAGGAGGAGCCATTCCCCAGTTTCCCAGAGCTTAAGGGTTCCCTGGAATTGTGTGTGACGTTTTAGGAACTGAATGTACATATTTATTTAGAGAGGCGTCCTGTCACAACACTTCTCAGTGACTTCAGTGACTTGGTTGACATTATAAGTCACTGACTTTGTAAAGGCAGCCTCCTAATTGTTACTGAGAACTCTTTTTTTTTTTAGGGCTTCATTATATTCATAGTTCTAATTTTGACGTTGTAGCAAGGTAAACTTTTTTCCTTTTTCTCCTTAGATTTGGAGTTTGCCCTTTGATATACTTTGATATGGCCAGGGCAATTTTATATTACGTTGTTTCCAGATTGCCAGTATAATCTGGAACTTTTGCTATTAGTTTAAAATTCCAGAAGTGGGGCTAGAGGGATAGTACAGGGGTTAAGACATTTGCCTGGCATGCAGCCAACCCGTTTGATCTTCAGGACCACATGATCCCTTGAGCATTCCGAGTACAGTCCTGAAGGACCCGAGTCCTGCAGGGCCTGAGTGTGACATTTCCAGAGCACTGTTCCTGATGTTCTGTCAGAGGGACTTGGATACTTTCAGGGTGGTATGGCATCTGTCTTATAGTGTCGTGTTGGGATAGTCTCACGGTTAGGGAAACATTAAAACACATCAGAGATTCACATGACATGATCCTACTTAGTTCCTAACTTTTTAGAATTTTTTTAAAGAAATAAATGTTTTCAAATATTTTAAAGAAAAATGCCTTTGTCCAAAATTTAAATATTCAGCCACAAAGTGAAATTGTTAGTATAGTAGCCCTATGAATTTCATAGTATCATGGGTAACCCGGCATTTCAGTTGGCTTGGAAACTGGCTTTAAAGGCCTTCTTTTTCTCTTTTGATTTCTTTCTAGAAAACTGAGCTGCTTTTTTGGTTGTTATTTGGGGGGAAAGGAATGTGTTACTGAAGAGGCCAGAAACACTCATTTTCCTTGCTACTAAATATTTTGATCCTTGATCTTTCAGGGCAGTTCATACAGTTGATTTTACAGCTGACAAATACCATGTTGTTTCTGGGGCTGATGACTATACAGTTAAATTATGGGATATCCCAAATGCCAAAGAAATTCTGACTTTCAGAGAACATACTGATTATGTGAGATGTGGTTGTGCCAGCAAACTGAACCCAGATCTTTTTGTAACAGGTTGGTAAACTCTTTGGTTTCTTTAAGTGGAGAGTTAGGGATGCTCCCACACAATGCTCAGGAGGCCTGGGGTCCCCACCAATGATTCTCAGCCAACTGGACTGGTGGATAAGTGCAAAGGCTGAGATTATTGTGCTGCTTGGTCTCTGTGGGGTCACACCAGCAGGGCTCAGGGCCTCCCGGGATGCACCTGGTGATGCTCAGGGCCACCATGTGTTCCTGGGGATAGAGCCTGGGTCAGGCACAGACTAGGTATGTGCCCTGATCACTGTCAAAAAAGTTGATAGTTTTAGCAAATCCTTGATAGCTTCATCAAAAAGTTGATCGCTTGATAGCTTTATTGTGACATTTTAATTTTACTTTGTGACTCTTTTGGCATAGAGGAGTTTAAAACTTCTTAATATATTTCTGGAGTATGGAGGCTGCTGGACCTAGCTGAAAGGGAGGGGAATTCACCCACCCCCATTCTGAGAAGGCATCAGAGTTGTCAGTAAGGTGATCAAGGTACCTGTGGTGGTATGGTGGTGTGCAGAGTCAGGAGTTGTGGAGCTGGGTCCTTAGCTGTGGAGGAGTGTGAAGGCTGCCCATACGGGGAGGGACACTGGGGACACTGGTGGAGGGAAGGTCACTTTGGATTAGTTTTGGAACAGTGTATGCCTGAAACAACTGTATTTTGAATGACTTTGTAAATCACGTTTTTCTAATAAACATAAATGCTTTTAAAATGGAGGAATAGAAATAAAAGCATTAGAATGCTCGCAGAGATAATAAAATTATCAACGAATAGGGAAAAAAAGATACTTTTCTCTTTAGTTAGAATTTTATTTTGGTGATTGTTCTTCCAGTCCTACAAATATGTTCAAAAATGTCAGGTTGCCTTAAAAATGGTCAGAACTGTGGATGAGTTTACTAACCTGGTTTTCTTTGGCCCCTGGAAGCCAAGAAACAAAGACCATCCAGTTCAGTCTGTCCGTGCCTGTCTGGAGATCCAGATGCAGACTCTGCAGGAGCCCAGTAGCTTGAATGTAGGACTAGTTGGTGTTTCTGTGAGGAATAGGATGGTGTTTCTTCAGATCCAGTAACACCAGATGGTTTGGGGGTCTTATATCTTCATGAGTAAATGTAACGTGTTTTTAAATTCTATCATCTATGCCTTTCTTAAAATTTGTCTCAGTGTACACACACACACACACACACACACACACACACAGAGTTCTTATTTTTAATGGTGAAACTCACCTTGCGTTGGCATTTCAGGGTCCTACGATCATACTCTGAAGCTGTTTGACACCCGGGCCAATCAGAGTGTTCTCTCTGTGGAGCATGGGCAGCCAGTGGAGAGTGTCCTGCTTTTTCCCTCTGGAGGTCTTCTGGTATCAGCAGGTATTTAATTTTTTTTTTTTTCATTTACTAGTAGTTTTTCATCATGAGTCAGATACTCATCTGTGCACCAGATTTCTTTTTGTCTGTTACTTTTTATAAATTATCACTGTGCACTTGAATTGCGTTTCTTAAGTGTTTGCTCAGTCGACAGTGGGACAGGTAAGCAGTTCTGACCAGTGGAAAAGCCGATGAGCACCATGCAAAGGTGTGTCGTGCTATTAGATACATATTGCCTGCAGTGCCCTAGCTGAGTCTGCAATGTAGGTATTTTCTCTGTTCTGCAGCTAAGGAAATAAATGTTTTAAAAGGCAAAGTGCTAAGTGACAGATCTGATAAGCCAGAGCCTTAGAACCTTGTGCGCTTAGCTTTCTCCTGTCTTATTTGAGTCTAGAATATTATTCCTAGGAGATCTACAGCAAATTTTGGAAATAGGTTTTTCTAGATCTTGATTCAGGCTTGTCATTGTCTTTTCTTCTTTTTTTTTTCCTGGTTAGTTTTTTGGCCTTTAGGTCACACCCAGCTGCTCAGGGATCACTCCTCCTGGTGCTCTGGAGACCATATGCAGTGCTGGGGGTTCAATTGGCTTGTCATTTTTATGTCACTCCTGATTGAAATGGCCTTATTCAGCAAGTAGCTGATCGTGCTGGAAGAGGAGAAAATGCGGAGCCAAAATGCCTTGATATGTATTTACAACAAACTTTTTTTTTTCTTTTGATAACATTGATCATGGTGCATTTTCAGAATTACAATGGAAGAAACAGATTACATTTTTCAGTAAGGTCAATATCAATATGTTTAATTATTGAAGGGTAGGTAACTGATATATATATATATATATATATATATATATATATATATATACACTCTGTAACATACATAAGGCTGTGTTTTCTGCCCTTACTTAAAAAAAAATCTCAATAGGAATGGCACTGTTTTACTCTTTTGTCTCTTTTCTTTTTAAAGTAAAATAGTTTTATTTAGTGAAATTTAAGGGGGAGAGGTGAGAGGAAGAAGAGAGGAGAGAAAGAGAAAATACATGGCATTTGGTGTAGGTAGCGGAAAATCCACCTCTATAACTTATTCCCCTGGTACGTAATTTGCTTTAAAAATACATTGATAACATTGTCGATGTATCTTTTTTCTTCTTGCTGTTATTTTGAGAAATAGAAGTAAGTTCAAGTTGATCAGGGAATGGAAACCTGTTTATTAATCTCCTTTGTGTCATTATCAAGTTGTGAGACCTTTGCAATCCCTTGACTTCTGTTGGCCTTGAAAATGCAAGACTCGACTCGATCAGTGGTTCAGGCTCGGATCTCTGTGGAGCTGCCCAGTGTGGGGAGCTGGAGATTAGGAATTGGGACTAAATTCCAGCCCTCTAGGCGAGAATTCACTCCCTCCTTCAACTCTGTTTTCTATTACTTTACTAGACTTTTTTTTGCTTTTTGGGTCACACCTGGCTATGCTCTGGGCTGATTCCTGGCTCTGCGCTCCGGAATCACTCCTGGTGATGCTCAGGGGACCATATGGGATGCTGGGAATCGAACCTGGGTCGGCCGCATGCAAGGCAAACGCCCTACCCTCTGTGCTATTGCTCCAGCCCCTACTAGACTTTTTTTGCTGAAAGAAATACTAAATTCTTTTGGATTTGGTTACTTCTGCAGATGCTTCTGACGCTTAAGCAATAATAAGGAACTTTTTTTTTATTTGGTTGGGATTTACAAAATCTTTAGGAAATAAATTCTACATTTATTTCATGGCCAAACAAAATTTCTTCTGAACTTTTTATAATAAACAAGTATATTTTGGTTTTATCTTTTAATTCCACTAGACATTTTTTTTTGTATTTTGCAGATGTGGATTTTTTTTTCTTTTTTGGGCCACACTGGCTTTGTTTACTCCTAGTGGTGCCTTGGGGACCCTATAGGGTTCTGGGGGTTGAACCTGGGTTAGCCACATGCAACGCAGGCACCCTACTTGCTGTAGTATTGCTCCAGTCCCACAAAGTTGAAATTCTTTAACTGTAACAGTTAAGGGGTAGGAACCAGTACTGTTCTGCGTCCAGTAAATGATGGAGCCAGGATGGAAACAGGTTTGGCCCCGGAACCTGTCGCTTTGCCTGCCTGCTATGAGGTGTCTGGGGAAGAATGCTTTCTGTGCCTTTATGATGTCCTACCTTTAGGAAGAGAGTGAAACCAGACCTTTTTTCTTTTTTTTTCCAGGGGGTCGTTACGTTAAAGTCTGGGACATGCTAAAAGGAGGACAGCTGCTGGTGTCTTTGAAAAACCACCACAAGACTGTGACGTGCTTGTGTCTGAGCAGCTCTGGACAGAGACTGCTCTCTGGCTCCCTGGATAGGTGAGCGATTTGGATTCTCTTGTTATTTGTGTGCAAGTGTGTACTACATTTGTGTACAGCAGAGCACTGTTTGTGGTAAGCTACCTGTACAACCAAATGATCTCCAGAGCGGGCCGGGCGTGGGTGACTTGTGTGCACACCTGGCTGTGGCCCTCCCTAAGGTATGTGCTCCTTCCAGTTGTGGGTTTATACCTTTGCTCCCCAGGGGCTTCCTCTTTGCGTTCAGGCATGCAAGTTATGTTGGTGAGACTCCGGGGGCTGGCGCCCCTGCTGTGGGGCTCACATAGCTTGTAGATGCCATGCTGCTGTGGGGCTTGGCTATCTTTGTGGCACTTAACCACATTGACTGTGGCGCAATGGGAAGTTGCTTGTGGCTCGTGAGTTCAAACAGCAGAGCTGCCAGGATTGTGAATGGCACATGTGGCAACACCAGGGATTTGGCCTTGTGACTGGATGATTGTAAAGCAACAGTATGTTTCTTTGGGCCCCATTACATGAACTTCTATACTTAAGCAAAGTTTTTCTTAACTATACAGATTATTTTTTGGAAATAAGCCATGTGTTTCTTTTAAAATCCACGTGGTTTATTTTTAAATATTTAAGAATGTATGTTATATTCTACCGTATATTCTTTAAATTAAAACTTTCGTGTGATGATTCCTATGTTAGTGTGATTCAGATATTCCTAATTTATTTGGAGGCGAGGAGTGGGTGCCTCCCGAGTGGTGCCCAGGAGGCCCAGGGACCCTCCTGGTGAATTTGGATGGGCTGGGCCTGAGATTCAGTGATGGGGCCTGAGAATGCTGCAGACCTGCCCTGCCGGGGATTACCCAGACACCCCACGCAGTGCTCGGTGCCTGCAGGGCTGCACCCAGCAGTGCTTAAGGAACCATGTAGTGTGGGGGATGGAACTAGAGTTGTCTACCTGCAGAGCATGTGCCTTGTCCCCCGTACTATTACTCTGGCCCCTGAAGACTTATTTTTGTTTATTTGTACCACACCTGGTTGTGCTCAGGGCTTACTTCCGGCTCTGTGCTCCTTGCTGGGCTTGGGGAATCATATATAGGGCCAGGGATCAATCCTGGGTTGGTTGTGTGCAAGCCTAGACCCCTACCTGCTGTACTATTGCTTCGGCCACCTAAATGCTGTTACATTTAACTGGATATGATTCTATTGGTTAATATTTTTTTTAGTTAATATTTTTTAATGGCACTGTCTAAAAAAATAGAATGCCAGCTATATTTGTAATTTAAGCAAATTAAAAAAAAACCCAAACAACCTTGGGAGCCACACCTGGCAGCGTTGAGGTGCTCCTCCCTGCTCAGTGCTCAATGGGGGACACTCCAGGAAGTGCTCAGGAACCCGTTTATGCCGGCAATGGAGTCCTGGTTATAAAACATGGCTCTAGCCCACTGAGCTTTTTTGGGCCCTTTACATTTGTAATACTAAAATGCTTTAATAATCACATTATAAAAGATAAAGTGAAAAAATGTTTTTTTTTTTTAGTTTATTGTACCTAATATGTTTAGTATTTATCACTGTATCACTGTGAGTGTATCACTGTCGTTCCATTGTTCATCGATTTACTCGAGCGGGCGCCAGTAATGTCTCCATTTGTCCCAGCCCTGAGATTTTAGCAGCCTTTTCTTACTCGTCTTTCCCAACGCTGCCATATTGGGGGCTCTTGCAGGGTCAGGGGAATGAGACCCATTATTGTTACTGTTTTTGGCATATCAAATATGCCATGGGTAGCTTGCCAGGCTCTGCTGTGCAGGCGGGATACTCTAGGTAGCTTGCCAGGCTCTCCGAGAGGCATATATATATATTATTTCCCTCTATGATTTGTTGCCTGCTGTCTGAACCCCATCAAAATATGGTGTGGTAATTATGGAAAGTGGGTAGGAAGTGTCTTATGATGTGAAAGTGGCCGTGAAAGCAGCCGCGTGGTCCAGGAATATGTTCATATAATATATTCCTAAATAAGGGATATATTCCATATTTAATATTTAAACTATGAAAGCATTGGAGTCTAGAAGTAGTTAAGCATCTGATGTATTCCCTGTGATAAAATGATATTTTACAGTGATGAGTGATGAAATATAGTCAGGTATAATAGAAGTAGGTTTAAAAGACTTAACTAAAATTAAGTTTAAAATTCCTGGCAAGGCAAGTCCTGAGCTCAAAATACTTAATTAAAATTAAATAAAAATAAACTCAGTCCTCCGCCCCTCTTGGAGAGCCTGGCAAGCTCCCCGTGACGTATTCGATATGCCAAACACAGTAACAACAAAGTCTCCAATGGAGACGTTACTGGGCCCGCTCAAGAAAATCAATGAACAACGGGAGTACAGGAAATTACAGGAAACTCAGTTCTTAATTTTCGCTAGCCCCCTGTCAGGTGCTCTGATACCCACCTGGCACGGTTACATTATTCACAAGTTGTCATTTTACTTTGGGGTTTTTTTCCCCCTCTTTTTTTCTCTACCATTATAGGAGTTGTTGCTTTGCAGCATGTTTATTTATAAGCAGATGTCCATTTATTTTTAATTTATTTATTTTTATTCGTGAATCACTGTGCGGTACTGTTACATACTTACAAACTTTTGTGTTTGTGTTTCAGTCATCCAGTGATCGAGTACCCATGCCTCCACCAGTGCCCATTCTCCACTACCAATGGTCCCAGGATCCTTCCCTACCACTCCTATGCAATTCTCCCCCTACCCACTCCCCCACTGCCCCCTGCCCGGGTTTTGTGGCAGGGCATTCCTTTTTGTTCTCTCTCTCCTTTTGGGTGTTTGGTTTGCAATAGAGCTATTGAGTGGCCATCATGTTCGGTCTGTAGTCTACTTTCGGCACGCATCTCCCAACCCACGTGGGTCCTCCCAACACCCTTTACTTGGTGTTCCCTTCTCTATCTGAGCTGCCTTTTCCCTCGCATGTGAGGCCGGCTTCCAAGCCGTGGGACAGAACTACTTGTCCTTATCTATACTATTCTTGGGTGTTAGTCTCCTATTCTGTTACTTTCTATTCCACAGATGAGTGCAGTCTTTCTGTGTCTCTCTCTTTCTAACTCATTTCACTTAAACTTAATACTTTCCATGTTGAACCACTTATATGCAAATTTCATGACTTCATCTTTTCTAACAGCTGCATAGTATTCCATTGTGTAGGTGTACCAAAGTTTCTTTAACCAGTCATCTGTTCTTGGGCACCGGGGTATTTTCCAGATTTTGGCTATTGTAAACAGTGCAGCAGTGAACATACAAGTGTTGATGTCACTTCGACTATACATTTTTGCCTCTCTGGGATATATTCCCAGAAGTGATATTGCTGGATCAAATGGGAGCTCAATTTCTAATTCTTTGAGAATCGTCTACACTGTTTTCCAAAAAGGCTGAACCAGTCGGCATTCCCACCAGCAGTGAAGGAGAGTCCCTTTCTCCCCACATCTACGCCAACACGGATTATTTTTGTTCTTTTGGATGTGGGCCAGTCTCTGTGGCCTGAGATGATATCTCATTGTTGTTTTGATCTGCATCTCCCTGATGATAAGTGATCTTTTAATATCAAAAATATTCCTAAGACTAAAGGAGTTTATTCATCATACTCAGGAAAGCCACGAGATGGTATTCCCAGGCAATTTGGGACTTGGTTTTGAGATCAGCCCCATGAAAGCTATAAATGTTGGCTGGGTCTGTGAGGAGTGCTTCTTAAGCGGGAGTGATTTTTGTGTCCCAGGGGGTGTTTTCAAAGAGATATCTTAGCTTGTGTAGTGATAGTGCAGTGGGTAGGGTGTTTGCCTTGCGCGCAGCTGACCCGGTCGACCCGAGTTCGATTCTTCTGCCCCTCAGAGAGCCCGGCAAGCTTATCTCGCCCGCATGGCAAAGCCTGGCAAGCTACCTGTGACATATTCGATATGCCAGTAACAAATCTCATAATGTTACTGCGCCCGCTTGAGCAAATTGATGAACAATGGAAGGACAGTGACAGTGACAGTGACCAGCTTGGTGGTGGAGTGTGGCTGGCATGGTGAGGAGAGGTTATGGAGGCTGCTGAATGGCTCGCAATGCACCAATAGCCCCTTGCAGCAGTTGTTGATCAGGCTGAGACCCAGAAGCCTGCTCTTGCAGTGTCTAGCGTGCTTTTTCTTCTTTTCTTTCTTTGGTTACGCCTGGCATTGCATAGGGGTCACTCCTGGCTCCTGCACACAGGAATTACTCCTGGCAATGCTTGGGGGACCATATGGGTTGCTGGGAATCGAACCTGTGCCAGCCGCGTGCAAGGCAAGACACCCTATCTCCTGTGCTATTGCTCCAGCCCCCAGCGTGCTTCAGAAGCACTGCTCACAGACCCAGCCAAAAAAAAAAAAAAAGATCTGTTTTTCTTAACTGTTGTTTAATTTTTTATATTCAGATACTGAATTTTCAACTAATACAAATTGTGTGTTTTATGATTATTTTCAACAGGACTTATGACAAACTTTTTTTCTTTATTAGGAAGGTAAAAGTGTATAGCACAACTTCCTACAAAGTCGTCCACAGTTTCGATTATGCAGCTTCGATTTTGAGTCTGGCCCTTGCAGTAAGTAATTTTCACTGTTTTACAGAGCACTTCTTTCTTTCGCTCTGCTCTTGCCCATTAAATGAAGTTCAAATGAATGTTTGTCTTAGTCTCTGTATGTGAACAAGTCATTTTCTTTTTGCCTTCTTCATATTTTCTTTGGTAATTGGGTTTGAGTGAAACACTGAAATGATTGTTAAAATGTCTGACTGTCCAAGTAACTTAATACTGGATTTGAATTAGGTCCCTCTCTCTATGAAGCTGCAATTGAGGGAGTGTTGCAGGCACTGTTGATTGCTTTTTCTAAAATAATCATTTATTATTGAGGAGAGGAGGATTTGAACACTATATTGAAATTGGAATTAGGAGGAAAAAAGCTTTACACAATATTAAATTGGCAAAATTCTGGAAAGTCCTACTGTCATGTAGATTTTTTTGAATCAGAGGATGTAGAAAAAAAAGTTACTTTCCAAGTTTCTCAAGATGTCATCAACGGTATATTGTTATGTGTCCTTAGCCTGTGATATTTTATATCCGGTGTAATAAATCTGTCACCAGATTACATCCTAGAGGAAGAATCCTGTTTTTGCTGCATTGACCATTGTTAGGGACACCCTGAAAGTGCAAATAAGTTGTAAGCAGGTTATAAATGTTATTTTGAAGGGAAATTATAAATTATGATTTAGGAGTAAACTTGTTTCTCTTTCTGCTGCAGCATGAAGATGAGACAATAGTTGTAGGAATGACCAATGGAATACTGAGTGTTAAACACCGGAAATCTGAAGCAAAGGATTCACTTCCCAGGAGAAGGAGGCCTGCATATCGAACCTTTATTAAAGGGAAAAATTACATGAAGCAAAGGGTATTTTTCTTATTTTTTTTTTAAGTGACATTTGTTAGGCTAGCCAGTTACTCCATCTGTTTGTATTACTGGAAAGTGTAGTTCATGCATTATTTAACTTTTTATTTTGCTTTTCTCTACCACCGGATTTATCTCAGTTGCTACTTTTAGAACATTATTAATGAGTAATGGGAAATAAAAACTAGTTAGTACTCTGAACAATGTTATAATGCTTTGCTATGTTCAAAAATAATGTTTTTTATGCACACACATGCGTGCGCGTGCATACACACACACACACACACACACACACACACACTGATTTTGTCTTCTCAGTCAATGTCTCACAGCCATTTCCCATTCGTGTCCCCTCTTGACCTTGTTTCCTTCCTGTGGCCTTTGTGTCCTGTGGATTGGCCCCTAGTCTTGCTGTGCCTTCTTGGATCAATCTCCTGGGTTTCAAAGGGAGCCATATGATGCCCCAGTGGAGAAATGCTGCTATGGACAGTGTTGAAAACAGTAGCACAGCATTTGACATGTAGGAAGACTTAGATGTAAAGAGGTTGTGATTGATATCGGACTTCATTACTGGTCAGCAGAATGGGCCTGGATCGCAATATTGCTGGTTGTTTTCTTTCGACCAAATCCCATAGCTTACCAGTAAAGAATTGAAATGAGCAATATTTGCCTAGAATTGAAGTATTGTGTATTCACTGTAAGTTAAAATCACAGGAGAAAAGGAAGACATTACTTCATTTTTATTTGATTTACATGATGGACATATAGCATCATTTACAATATATCTGGGCTAACTTGCATGAAAAAATCACTTGAAAATGTTGATTTTGGATGAAACTATGTAGATACTGATTTTTCTGTATACATTTATTTTTCAATATAGGATGACATTTTGATAAACAGGCCATCCAAGAAACACCTAGAATTGTATGACAGGGATCTTAAAAATTTTCGGATATCTAAGGCGCTTGATAGAGTCCTTGAGGTGAGTGAGGAGCATTGTGTATATGTATATATTTATTACTATGTTTATTTTGGAATGGTTTTAGGTTTATTAAAATGAAGGGGAAGGTACGGGGATTTTCCATGTTGCCCTGTACCACACACATTTATATATAAAGTGTGCCCCATTAGCAAAACCAGGCACATGGTTACAATTGATAACATAAAAGAACATTTTCATTTTTATTTTTAATATAATTTTATAACTTTTGGTGTGTGGGCCACATCTGTAATGCTTCGCGTTACTTCTGGCTCTGCATTCATGAATCACTCCTGGTAGTGCTTGGGAGTCTATACGGGATGCTGGGGTTTGAACCTGGGTCACTGGCGTGCAAGGCAAACACCCTTCCCATTGCACTATCTCTCTGGCCCCAAGGAACATACTTTTAAAAGAATTATCTTATTTCTTGCCTTATGCATTACTGTGACTCAGAGCTGTGAAGATGATAACCTATATAAGTTTGTTGTTAGTGAGTTCACGGACACTTTATTTCTTGTGCTTTATTATTTAAAAGTCACTGTCACTCTGTCACTGTCCTCCCGTTCATCGATTTGCTCGAGCGGGCCCAGTAACGTCTCCATTGTGACAGTTGTTACTGTGTTTGGCATATCGAATACGTCACGGGTAGCTTGCCAGGCTTTGTCGTGATGGTAGCTTGCCGGGCTCTCCAAGAGGGGCTGAGGAATCAAACTCAGGTCGGCCATTGTGACCGCTTGTAAGGCAAACGCCCCACCCGCTGTGCTATCGCTCCAGCCCATTATTTAAAAAGATTTAAATATTTTTTCCATTGAAGTACTGTGTTTTATAATACTGTTAATGATAGTTTTTCTTGTTCTTCCTTTTCTGCTTATATTGGCTTTGAAATTTTTTCCAGCCCAGCTGTACCATAAAGACCCCTGAGATTACAGTTTCCATCATCAAGGAACTGAATCGAAGAGGAGTCCTTGCAAATGCCCTGGCAGGTCGGGACGAGAAGGAAATCAGTCGTGTTCTTAATTTTTTGATACGGTATGTTTTATGTATCACTGAGATACTTGGAGTTTTGCATCTGAAATTCTTTATCTCCTAATAGGAGATATTTAATTTTAATTTAATCTTTATGGAGAACCAGGAGAACAATTCAATAAATCTGTTTTAAGAATTTTAAGGGATGGGGGTGGAGGGTGGCAGAAGAGAAACTGGGGACATTGATGGTGGGAAATGTACACTGGTGAAAGGATGAGTGTTGGAGCATTCTGTGACTGAAACCCAATCATGAGCAACTTTGTAACAGTGTATGTCCCGGTGATTCAATAATAAATAAAAAATGGAATATTAATTAGCAATTTTCAATGAACAATTTTTGCTTTGTAGGAATCTTTCTCAACCAAGATTTGCCCCTGTCTTGATCAATGCTGCTGAAATCATTATTGGTAAGTAATTTATTTACTTACGTACTAATTTTTGACTTTTGGTCCACACCCCACAATATTCTGAACTTGTGGCTTTGGGCTTAGGGGTCACTCCAGGTGGGGCTCCAGGGACCATATGTGGTGCTGGGGGTGGAACTTGGGTTAGCTGTGTGCAGGCCTAGCACCCTACCAGCTGTACTATTGCTCTAGCTCCTAAACTGATGGATTTTTATTTTCTAAAAATTTTTATTTAATTTCTTTTTTACTGATGCATTTTTTATTTTATTTTTTTTAATGGTCCAATTTCTCTTTATTATTTCAAATTTTATTTTATTCTATTTTGTACTGATGCATTTTTAAATGAAGTAGAACATTTACAGCAGTTTTAATTGTTGGGAGTAGTTATTATAATTTTTTAAATATCAACAGTACCTGTGATTTTTAAATGGGAAATAAAAATCAGAATATCCATAGTACTTTTTGTAATCATTTTTTTAAAATCATTTAATATGCTTATTCAGATGGACTATTGACTTTCTGTGACTAATTATAAAATACACTTTTTACTGTCTGTATCTAATATTTTTATATGTTTTTCTAAATGTTGCTATTCACTGGTTGTGTAGGAAAAAATGTTTGTTCATGTGATTCTGCTTTCTCTTTCTAGATATATATCTGCCTGTGATTGGTCAGTCACCTGTAGTTGATAAAAAGTTTTTGTTACTTCAAGGACTTGTAGAAAAAGAGATTGATTACCAAAGAGAGCTGCTGGAAACCTTGGGGATGATGGATATGCTTTTTGCTACCATGACAAGGAAAGAGAACATTTCTGTGTTGCAGCAAGCATCCGATGGTTTTCTGGACAACAGGAAGATAGAGGCATAGTGTCTGCTGGCTATGCCACATGAGAACTCCTAGCTTGCAATAGATTTGACTGTGAATGATTTAAAAGAGAATCTTTTTTGATACAGTATAAGTGCTATTCACAGAAGCAATTTTATGGAAGAGACAGACAGAAATAGTTGTGTTTGGAAAATAATGTGTTTTAAGACATGGTTAACACATGGTTTCCATGTGATATTTCGAATTATTTTATCCCATCTTCTGCCAGAAGATCTGAAAAGTCTCCCCTGGACAAGCTGACATTAACCTCGATGCAACAAAGCTCTGTATCATCACGAGGGTCTGCGGTCAGAGCTCTGAGGGTTTCCACTGGGAGTTGAGCCCAAGGACCAGAGCTTATGAAAGAATACCAACAAATGGACAAATGGCGACAGCAAATAAGCCCTTTCTCTACTCTGCTTTGTGCCCTTTGGGTTTCCAGGCTCATTTGAGCATGCGTCCCCTTCCTTGGTCCCATGCTGTCTCTATTGGCCATAGGACTCTCTGCTTCAAGTGTGGAGATTCAGCGGCAGGCCCGGAACAATTGACAGGACTGGGACACTAGTCAGAGTGGGATGAGGCAAATTTCATACCCAGAACTTGTGCTTTCCACCCCAGATTTTCTTTTTCATTTCTGTAATTTTGGATATCCTAACGAGAACATGGTCTGTAGTTAAGACTACTGGATTGTGGGATTGTGATTTTTTTCTTTAACAAGCAGCCAGCCTCTGTCCCTTCTTCACTTCCTTTTTTTCTGAGCCACACCCTGCTGTGTGTGTAGAGACTTACTCCTGGCTCTGCGAAGAGATCACTCCTGACTGGCTCAGGGGAGCATATATCTAGCTGGAAATAGAACCCATGTTGGCTCTGTGCAAGACAAGAGTCTAACCTTCAGTACTATCTCTGCAGTCCCAATATGCAGGTTTTCTTTCTGCCTGCTTTTCAGATCAGCGTCAGGGTAACATTTCTCTTGTAGCAAATAGACTTTTAGCCTTTTATATGTATCTCACAGTTACCTGTGTCTCTGAAATTATTTTCTGAGCCCTGTACTTAGATACCCCAACCCACTTCCATTCCTTCTTGTGTTTTAGAACCCCAAGCCAGACTTGATTTTTTTTCTTAAAAAAAAAAAACAACTTATTTTCCTCTTGATTTTCTGAAATGTATGAATTTCTGATGGATAGTCACAAGCTAGAGAATCTTAGCACGTTGATTTTATATTGCTACCTCTCCAATCTTTCCTATTCCTTTTCCATCTCACGCAGTTAATGACCTGTAAGAACTAAGCTCTTAGTTAAAGGAAGATTTTGTAGTTGGACTCTTAAAAAGTTCAAGTCCGTGAATTTGAATATATATTTTTTTAAAGCGGAAAAAATAGGATGCTTCTGTGTTATATGGGGCAGGCATAGGCTCAAAAATAGGGCCAAGGTTCCTTTTTATGAATTGATTTAAATAATTATGCAGCACAGTGGCTTGTAAGAAACCAGAAATCTGCTTCCCTGAGAAATTAGTGAAGTTTAGAACTGTCTTCATATTGAAAAGGGTTAATTTATTTAAATAACTTTTGTATTTAAAAGTTTATAAATTTTTAACTTCTTGAGTATGCTGATAATTTGTATACTAGTAAAAAAATTATATGTTGAAATCCTGTTGGTGTTACTGTCTCTCAAGTGTCACATGTGACCAAGGTTTCCGGTTCTTCATCTGATTCTTATCATCTCTGAAAGGTGGGGGTGGTTCACCCTTGAGGCCTGCAGCCCACCTTCATATCATCCACACTCCTGAACTGCCTCCCTGCTAGGGCCAAAGTGACTCTTCCCTCTATTGAACTTCACTGACTACTGTTCTTAGAGGAAATGTGTTATGTTACAAAGTTTCATGAGCACTAGGAAGCCATCCTAAGCATAAAAGTCTTTGTATGAAGTTCAGTGGTTCTCATCATTTTAATTTATTGGGACCAGTATTTACTATTAAAGTTTTTAACTAGCATTGACACATCACATAGCCTTAGGCTTCTAACCTGAAACCCCTGCCATTTTTAGATACGGGGTTTTCACTTTAAAGATTTTTAAGTGTTACTAGGCGTGCGACAATATTGAAGCATTTCAGATATAACCTGGAAAGTCATTGTACGATTAATATATTGTATTTCTAAGAATGAGGCAGTTGGGAAGGTTCTGCCAGTTGGAGAAAGCATTTTGAAGTTCTGTTTAAAAGAAAATTAACTTTGAAGAGTACTTGCTGTTGAGCTGTTTAAAGGAATTTGGGTTGTCAAATGGGACTGTTTCAAGAAATTCAATCTGTTCAGAACTTAAACGAGCTCTTTTGAATAGATTTTCATTAAAGGTATCTTTAAAAGTGATTTTAAAAATGTACTAGTTTTCTAAATGGATTACTTATAAATTAAACTGTACAGACTTAAGGCAAGCTTGAAAATGCCCTAGCAGGTAACTGAATTGGCTTTGTAAGACCGAAAATCAGACTGAAGATCTCTTCAGACTGTTTCCTCAGGTCGTAGTTAACTGGAGCTTAGTGGTAGGCCTGACAGGGGGCTTGTGATTAAGATCAGTGGATTATTTTTGGTTTTGTTTTTGGGCCATGCTGGGGTAGGGGGTGTGTGGTGGGGGAGGAGCTGAAGGGGTGGGAGTGGGTGCTCAGCACTTATTCCTCTGCACTCAGTGATAACTCCTAGTGGGACTGGGGTGGGGGTGGGGGAAACCATAGCTGGGTTGACCTCATTCAAGGCAAGAGCTCTGCCTGTATACTATTGCTCTGGCTTGGAATTAAGATTTGTAATCCGATTCTTTTTAGGGGGAGATTTTGGCGGGGGTGGGCACACCTGATGACACAGCAGTTATGACTGACTGCACTCAGGAATCACTCCAAGCAATGCTCCTGGAACCATATATGGGATGCCAGGGATAGAACCAGCAAAATAAGCATCCTACCTGCTACACACTGTACTCTCCATCCCGAAGCTTTGTAATCATTTTTTTTTTCTTTTTGGGTCGATGCTTAGGGGTTACTCCTGGCTCTGTCAGTATTCAGGAATCACTCCTGGCAGTGCTTGGAATGCTGGGGATTGAACCCGGGTTGGCCGCGTGCAAGGCAAATGCCCTACCTGCTGTGCTCCTGTAATCAGATTCTTGATTGAGAAAGTGTGGGAGGCTAGGGAATGCCTTTCGGGACACAGTGTTGAGAGCTGGTCTGTGGAGAGAAAGGAGCGTGAACCTAAGTGCAGGGAAAGTAGACGAAGAGATGAGAAGCCATGGTAGGTCCTGATGGTTTTCCTCCTGCAGGCACTTCCTCACCTCTGCAGTTCTGGAGAGGTCTTTGGAATCCTTTGGCTTGCAGAGCGAGAGTGAACAGATCATGATGAAATGCCCACACTTTCCCTAAGAGGAGGTGAGGTGGGAGCTGTAGAAAGATGATTCCCAGTATCTTCCAGGCATAGTAGGGTACAAATCCCAGCACATAAAGGTATTCTTGCCAAAAATCCAGCCTGTATTTGTACAGATTTTATTTTATTTTATTTTTTTATTTTATTATTTTTTTTATAATTTATTTCTTTATTGAATCACTGTGGGAAAAGTTACAGAGCTTTCGGGTTTAGGTCTCAGTCATGTAAATATCAAACACATTTCCCTTTACCAATACTTATTTTTAACTGCGAACCCCAATAGAACCCCACCTCCCACCCCTCCCAATTCCTGTGAGGCAGATGAGTTCTAGTTAATACTCTATCTACTTTGACTAGATACATTGTTTCGATAGAAGATGCACAATTATTGTTTAGAGTTTACTACCCCCCCCCCCAATCAGACATGCTGAAACAGCGTTGTGAAATGATTTGCTTTCTACAACTTGGTTTAAGAATAAAATGGTTTTAGATTTCTGCTATTTTTCTTATTAACCCTGGAAGTATTTCTATTAAAGGTTAGATAGTTAAGAGATTGGTTTCTGTGCTCTGGAGTCGTGGCCGTGCCAGAGAGCTGCTCGTGGGGGGCAGCTGGCGACCTCGGTCGGGCGTGAAGGACGGCCCATTACGCCCCGATTCCCATGAGGTCCCTGCCGCTCCCACCCCCGGCTCAAACCTGCTGTCCACAAGGCTCCCGTGCGGCCGCCATCTTTCTTTCCAGATTTTATTTTTGAGCGACCCTTGGCTATGCTCAGTGGCACTCCTTGTTCTGTGCTCAGGAGCAAACTTGGTGTACTAAAGGAACCATATGTGGTTTTGGGGATTGAACCTGGTTTGGTCACGTACAAGTCAAGTATCTTACCCCCCTTCTATCTCTTGCCCAAGATTTAAAAAAAAAAATTGGTAACACCACAGCTATAGTTCTGAGTACGTTACAGCTGCCTCATAAAATGCAGCAAGCTTTCATAGTTCCCAGTAGTATATGATGAAAGGGAAATCCAGTTTTCCCAGTTTTCAGTCTAATTTCTTCCAAAATAATGACTATTGACAGTTTCTAATGTTCAGTAATACTGAAGGTTCAGTGTAGGAAATACTGTTTTAGGAAACTAAAGCAGATTCAGATTTAGTAAGAGTGCATTGATCACTTGATCGCTTGACTTCCCGTTAATCATCAATTTGCTTGAGTGGGTGCCAGTAACATCTCCATTCATCCCTGTTGCGTGCTAGTGTAGCCCAATGGCATCTGTTCATTCTAGGAACACGAAGAGCCTCAAACTGATCATTCAGGGTCTTGATGAAGTCTGACCATCTGGTAGATGGGCGGCCACGTGGTCTTTTAACGTCCCGTGGAATCCAGTCAGTAACGGCTCTAGTCCAGCGGTCGTCTCCAAATCTCATTACGTGTCCAGCCCATCTGATTTTTTTTTTATTAGTGAAACACCATGAGGTACAGTTATAGACTTACAAATTTTTGTGCTTGGGTTTCAGTTATACAATGATCAAGTACCCATCCCTCTACCAGCACCCATCCTCCATCACCACGGGTGCCAGCATCCCTCCCACCCCCCATCCCCCCACCCCACCCTGCCTCTGTGGCAGGGCATTCCCTTTTGTTCTCTCTCTCTCTCTCCTTTTGGGTCCTGTGGTTTGCAAGAGAGGCATTGAGTGGCAATCATGTTTGGTCTATAGTCTACTTTCAGCATGCTTCTCCCACCCTGGGAGGATCCTCCCAACACCCTTTCTTTGGTGCTCTCTTCTCTATCTGAGCTTCCTTTTCCCCTAGCATGTGTGGCTGGCTTCCAAGTCATGGAGCAAAATTCCTGGTACTAAAGGTAAAGGTAAAGGCCCTCCCGTTGATCGTCGATTTTGCTCGAGCGGGCCCAGTAACGTCTCCATTGGAGACTTTGTTGTTACTGTGTCTGGCATATCGGATACTCTCGGTAGTTTGCTGGGCTCTCCGAGAGGGGCGGAGGAATTGAACTCGGGCCGGCCATGTTGGCCGCTTGTAAGGCGAACGCCCTACCCGCTGTGCTATCGCTCCTGGTACTAATCTCAGCTATTCTTGGGTGTTAGTCTCCCTTTTTGTTGCTTTATGTTCCCCAGATGAATGCAATCTTTCTGTGTCTATCCCGCTCTTTCTGACTCATTTCGCTTAACATGATACTTTCCATGTAGTACCACTTGTATGTAAATTTCATGACTTCATCTTTTCTAACAGCTACATAGTACTCCATTGTGTAAATGTACCAAAGTTTCTTTAACCA